CCATGGGGAGATCCACGAGGGTCCCAAAGCTACCGTCCGCATGCGTCCCGCACACCTAGTACAGCGTTTCGTGGCCCTCCTCCGCTTCCTCCCTGCGTTACACCCACACGGTACAGCGTTTCGTGGCCCCATAGGGGGCCCCACCGAAGGTCCCAGTGGTACCGTCCGCATGCGTCCCGCACGCCCAGTACAGCGCTTCGTGGCCCCATAGGAAACTCCACCGAAGGTCCCAGTACTACCGTCCGCATGCGTCCCGCACACCCAGTACAGCGTTTCGTGGCCCTCCTTCCTTCCTCCCTGCGTTTCACCCACCCAGTACATCGCTTCGTGGCCCCATAGGGAGCGCCACCGAAGGTCCCAGTGCTACGGTCCGCATGCGTCCCGCACGCCCAGTACAGCGTTTCGTGGCCCCATAGGGAACCCCACCGAAGGTCCCAGCGCTACCGTCCGCATGCGTCCCGCACACCAGGTACAGCGTTTCGTGGCCCTCCTTCCCTTCCTCCCTGCGTTTCACCCACCCAGTACATCGCTTCGTAGCCCCATAGGGAGCGCCACCGAAGGTCCCAGTGCTACGGTCCGCATGCGTCCCGCACGCCCAGTACAGCGTTTCGTGGCCCCATAGGGAACTCCACCGAAGGTCCCAGCGCTACCGTCCGCATGCGTCCCGCTCACCCAGTACAGCGTTTCGTGGCCCTCCTCCCCCTCGTCCCTGCGTTTCACAAATCCAGTGCGTTGTTTCGTGGCCCCATAGGGAACACCACCGAAGGTCCCAGCGCTACCGTCCGCATGCGTCCAGCACGCAGACAGTATAGCGAGTCGTGGCCCCATAGGGAGCTCCACCGAAGGCCCCAGTGCTACCGTCCGCATGCGTCCTGGAAGCCCAATTTGGCATTGTCACCTACCCAGTGCAGCGCTTCGTGGCCCCATAGGGGGCTCCACCCAAGGCCCCAGTTCCACCGTCCGCATGCGTCCGGGAAATGTAATTTGGCATTTTCACCCGCGCAGTGCAGCGTTTCGTGGCCCCATAGGGGGCTCCACCGAAGCCCCCAATGCCACCGTCCGTATGCGCCCCGGGAACCCAAGTTGATCTGGCATTTTCACTCATTCAGTAGAGCGCTACGTGGCGCCATAGGGAGCTTCACCGCAGGTCCCAGTGCTACCGTCCGCATGCGTCCCGGAAACCCAATTCGGCACACCACCCACACAGTACAGCGTTCCCCCCCGCCCAGTGCACCGCTTCGTGGCCCCATAGGGAGCTTCACCGAAGCAGATATCCACAATTATGGTACCCACAACTGCAAATGGTTGGGACCTTCGCCAGGATATTTTTTTTCAAGGGATGGTGGGGTGGGGCCCTCATTGTCTCGGGTTGGCTCCCAGTCGCCTGGGGGAAGGGGTGTATTTGAATAGGGAACAGTGATGAACCCCTCCCCGAAGGGGAAGAAAGGGGGTTGGAAGAGGCGCCGCCCTAAACCACCTACGCCCAGAGGGCTGGCGGGATTCTAGCAGCACGTTTTAGCAATTGCAATCCGAAGAAACACCATTCAACAGCAAGCAATCTCAAACTATATAACGCGTGTGCAAAACGCACGCAAGGACACATGAAATGACGCAATCAAGCAGGTAGCCAATTCGGCTCCGTATTCTAGAGCCGTAACTGGATTGTGGCCAGGGGCATATCACCACGCAGTGGCTTTCCACCAGGAGGCCATGAGGGGTCATCGTCGGCCGCATGAGACAATCGTGAGCCACCTTGTGACCACACGGGGCTTCAATGAGGCCATGAAGAGGTTTCAGGGTTTGGGTGAGTCTCGCCCTCCCAAAGAGCAAGTTTGATTCCCGAACAACACGTGTGTCCTCGAGGAGTTGTACGCTTGCACATGGGTCTGACGTTGCATGGCTATTCGGGATTGCGTCCATGCAGCTGTGGCCGGGTTGGATCCCATTCTCTTCGCTGGGCCACCATAGCTGGAGTGAAGAGGGCGAGAGCCAAGCATCACGTCTTGTCACCAACGGAGGCGATTGCCGGCGGATCCCCAAGTAGAGGGCTCTTGGTCATCTTTCTTCTGTCTCTTTCTTCATGCACCCCGGCCTAGTTTTCCTTCTGTGGCAAATGGCCGCAGAGCGCGTTCTGCTCGCAGCGCAGCGCTGCTTGCCGGGAAAACATACGGCGCGTTGCTGTCTTCTGGTCTCAACAGAATACACGTGCGAAGCACGCAAGTTGGTGCGTTCTCTGCCGTTGCGCCCCGTTTACAAGGTTTCTTCATGCTTGAATTCGCCGGTTTTACAGTCAAGACGCTGAAATAAGGACCGCTTTGGGCTCAGGAGGTGCTCGGGTTTTCGGTTCGTTCTGTCGATTTCTGTCGTGGCCAGACAGCCCCTCTTGTTCCTCATCATGCGCTCCTTATGGTGGCACGATTGCTGTATAGCTTGTGCTTCCCTAGTAGCACTCCCCCACTAAGTATATGTGTCTCTCCTGTTCTCTTGTGCATTCGCTCCTCCCCGCTTTATTCTGCTGCTGCGCGCCCTCCTTTCTTCTTTCCTTGCCCTTCTCTCCGCCTCTGCTTTATCATGTGCCCGTGGGCTCGGTGCCGCACCATCGGATTGTCGACGAGAGCAGCGGGTCCACAGGGAGTCTGCAAGGCCGATGTGCCCAGGCGTGCTCGTTCTGAATCTCGTCGTCGACCTGTTCCCCCCTCTGCCCTCCCCCGCTCCTTATCCCGCCCGCCGCTCCCACTGCTTCTACTGCGGCTTCTTCATTTGTTGTTGTTGTTGGTGGTGGTGGTGGTGGCGTTGATGTTGTTGTTGTTGTTGTTGTTGTTGGTGGTGGTGGTGGTGGTGGTGGTGGTGGTGGTGGTGGTGTTGTTGTTGTTGTTGTTGTTGTTGTTGTCATCGTCGTCGTTGTTGTTGAACTCCTCGCTACCGAAGAATAAAACTTGTTGATCCCCCCTCTGGTGACCAGTGTGTTTTTTTCAATCGAAGTGGTTACCCCGGGCTCGCACCCTATTTTTTACCAGGGAAGTCACGAAGCTCAAACTGGGCCCCTGGCCCCCGGGTTTACAACAACAGCGGCTTCCGCTTGACACTTCCTCACAGTTTATTCCCAAGTCGCGCTCTCGCGCGGGACTTCTCGCAATTCATGTACGCATCGCGCTCTCGCGTGAGACTTCCTCGCAATTTATTCAGACGATGCGCCCTCGGCGCTCAGGAATCACGCTCTCGCTTTGGCTTTTCTCATGGGTTACTTGGGAATCGCAATATCGCTCGAGACTTCCTCGCGATTCATGCAGGACCCACGCTTCAGCAACCCGCCTGCTCGACCTCGTCGCCTGGGCCCGCCTTCTCGACCTGCCCGCTGTGGGTCTGCCCACCCGATCTGCCCGTCTGGCTCTACCACTCGTTTTCTGATCCTTGCCCCCCTCCTGCTAATTTCTCTCGTGCTCCATTCTTCTCCCTCCCCCTTCCACCCGTCCTCTCTTCCCTGGTTTTAGGGGCTGCACTAATTGCACATGGCAGGTAAGGAAGATATACCCATGGGGGTACGATCGAAGACGACGAGGACGGGTGCCGAGGGTTTGGGGTATACGTATTGATTGGCACGCGAGCAGATAGGAGCGAACAGTCTTATACTGACTGTTGTTGCTGCTGATGTTGTTGTTGTTGTTGTTGGTAGTGGTGGTGCTGTTGTGGTGGTTGGTGTTTGCTGTCCTTGTTGTTATGACTGCTGGTATGATTGTTGTTGGTGTTGTTGTGGTTGCTGTTGTTGTTGTTGTTGTTGTTGTTGTTGTTGTTGTTGTTGTTGTTGGTGGTGTGGTTGTTAGTGTTGGTGTTGTTGTTGTTGTTGTTGCTGTTGCTGTTGTTGTTGTTGTTGTTGCTGTTGTTGTTCGTTTTGGTGTTGTGGTTGTTGTCGTGCTCCGCTGCTCCTGCCCCTGCTTCTGCTTCAGCTGCTCCTCATTCCCCTGCTCCTGCCCTGCCACCCGAGGGAGCAGGACCGGGAAGGGGGGCGGGGACTCTCCCTTTTCGCGCCTGCCCCTCCCTTCTGTCCCTCCTGCTATACCGCTCCTGCTGCTGCTGTCCCCCCCGTCCTCCTGCTGTTGCTGTTGCTGCTTTCCCCCTTCCCCCTCCTGCTCCAACGGTGGCAAAACAACCTCCCGCGGCCTCTGAGGATGGAGGATGCCCCTCTCCACGGTCGTCTCCTTCTCCTGCTCCCTGCTCCTCTGCATGGGGCGGGGAACGGGGGGGGGGACGGGTACGGGGGCGGGGGGGGGAGAGAGAAGGGGACGCGGGCCACTGCTGCCATCTGCGGCCGAAGATGACTGAAGAGCCCCGCCAGCGAATCTGGCCTCAGCGCTGACTGCCTTCTGGACCGTGCGCTTGCCACGTCAAGGCGCACGAGGGGAGAGAAAGGGCTCAGGGAGGGAGAGAAGGGAGGGGGAAAGGGAGGGGAAAGGAGGGGAGGGGAGGGGGAGGAGGACAAGGGGAGAGACACGGACAAAGGGGAGGGGAGAAGAGGAGGGGA